TACTATTTAAAAAACCTGAAAACCTAGGGTCAAAATTTATTATCTGTTTAATTTAGCCCTGCCCTCTTTGTGAAGTTTTATAACCTCTATTCAAATTCTTGTCAGGTTTGGAGGCTGGGTCAGTAGTATATATCATTTTGCCTTGTTCTGAATCTGGTAAATTGATATATTTATGCCAGATCTATTTTCTAAATGCAAACTAGCATTTTTTTCAAAATAATGTTTTTTCAGAAATAGTTGCAGAAGTTCATCATAACAATACACTAACTGATATATATCCCAGTAATTAATCAACACTGGATAAATAAGGAGCAAAAAACATCAGCACTTTTGCATTAAAACTTTGCTGGAAATGCAAACTGAGAAAAAAAATATACAGGAAGGCAGGGAATCTTTAGTTAAATATGAATTAATTATGACAGTTACTCTGATTTAGGCAGTATTAGAAAATTACATATGTATACATATAAATTTGCCATAAATGTTATAAGCTGCATGGCTAGTTGAGTCTTAGTCATTTGTTACCTTCTTAATTTCACAAAAGAAATGCTGTACTTTGGTTTTTCATGCCTGGTAAATACAGGTGTAACTAACTTGTACGTCAAAGATCCCAGGGTGCAGACGACCTTCAGAAAACTACATTAAACGAACGCTTCCTCAGTGGTGTTCTGGCTTGGGAAAAGATACAGGGAAAATTCTTTACCATCTCTCTCCTCACTGTTTTCCTGCCAGGATAAGGTGGTCCCTTTTCTTTCTTTGCTTCCTCTCTCTCCCTCCCCACAGTCAGTAAGAGACAGGTCTTCCATTTGCTCCCCACCACCAGGCTTACAAAGCCACCATCATAAACATAACTTTTCACACACAAAGAGCCATTCTTTGTGTACAGATTTACTGCTTTTATTACTTGTTTCTCCTTGTGGGTAGTCTGCACTGCAGGACTAGTCTGAGTGGGAACTGCCCAAAGACAGCAACAGAAAAGCCTCTTCCAGAGTTCCCATCTGAACTGCCTCCCACTGTCAACATCCTACATCCTGGTGGTGCCAAAGCACCTTCTCCTTCTCCTGGGAACATGAGGAACTTGCCTATCCCCAGTATACAAAACACTGGATTAGCTATTCAAGTTAAAGGTTAACTCCAAGAGCCCTTTAATTTTGCAATGCCATTCTCTGAGGAAATTAATTTATTTTACTGCACAGAAGCCTCAATTCACATGAAATGAATGAATCCATTCAGCTGAGGCATCTTGTCTTCCCAGAGTCAGCCTGAAGCTGGTGGGGAGAGCACTTCTAGAAGGCAATTGGCCTAGGCAAGGTTTAATCACCCCCAGAGGGTCCTAACTCCCTCTACTAGCTATGGAGAGCAAACAGGCCAGCTAAATTCTTAAAGTTTGTAAAATTAGGTAGCTGGCACACAAACTGAACAGTTACGTTGGTGCTTGGATCAAGACTCAGGATTGCAGAGCCTGTCAGGCAAGAATAGGAGAGGGCACATTTTTATTACCCAGTTTGTGAGAAGAGAGCTGTTTTACACAGAATTCTACCACTGGAGAATGAAACTTTTGCCACTGGATTTAGTATGTCTAGGTTTCTTCTTGATTCTTTTTTCTCTCATGAAAGAAAGCATTAGAGCTATTATAGCCCTGAATTCCAGCAACTGAAGATGACCTACGGAGCTAAATTTGATCAAGAAAATAATGCAGTGGACTATGATCATGAGAACAATAACAGGCAGGGTGGGGAGGAAGGAAAATAGGTTTTGAGAAGGTGTGTAATTGTTGCTTTGGAGTAAGACAAATCAACTGCACCAATGACATTCATGGTACATGTTTGCCTAATATAATAAAACCAGCAATGGTAGACTTCCCACTGGCTCAGTCTCTTCTAGTGTTTAACCACCTTTGATGCTCTGGCCTTGGAGAGCTCACTTGGGCAGATGTTTCTATCTGCCCTACCCTCATACCACATAGTTCACTAGCTCCTCACATGAAAGCTTCTTTGTTAGTGTTTGCTCTGCCTTTTCATACCTAGACAATCTTTCACCTGGCCGGGGCAGGTGTAATTTCAGGCTTATTCCATGCCAAAAGTAGCAGATACATATTCCTGGATTGGTTTTTACATTCTTATCCAACTTGTCAATACATACGTAATGTTTTTATGGAATTTTTTTTTAATCTGTACCACGAGTTGCAACATGTAAACGTTTGTGTCTGCAATGAGTCTATACTTTTCAAGGACATTTTTTGAAAAACATGATAAGACTTCTTAAGGGGCTATCTCCTAGTTAGGCAAAAGGAGTAATATTATTTCTTACACCACAATAATAATAGTTTATTAATTAATACTTTAATTTTAAAAATATCTGATTTTATCATAACAACATTCCATCTCCTAAAGAGATCATTCCACAGCATTTTCAGGATTAAATCATTGTTGCTCTCATCTTCTTACTTCTCAAAATATGTTACATTTCTATTGGAAACATTCATGGGGAAGTAGGTACTTCATTGTGTCTCTTCCTTCCCCTGAGCGTAGAAATAGACTTAATGTGGTGATGGTGGGACAGAATATGAGCTCCTGTAATATGGACTAGCTGTTACATTCCCAGTGGTCGTAAAACTGAGGAGAAAATTTGTGGCCCTTCTTTGATTCAGTAAATTCAGTTAAGCTGTAGAGGTAAAACAAAAGCAGACCTGAGCTTTTGTCAGAACTCTCTGAAATTCAATACTCGTTATCAAAACATTGTGTAAATGTTATAGCTCCACAGTTCCAGGTTTTGGCTCAGACTCTGATTGCACTTGAATTGTTTCTGAGTGATCAAAAGAGAAATTAATAGATCCCTAGGAAGAAAGCTCACTTTATGTTATTTACCATCTAGTCTAATCTCAAGACATTTAGATAGCTACGATAAACATCCCTGTGAACTGAACCTAACCTATTCTTGAAGGATTACAGAACATTGAAGTCTATGAAAGCATTAAATATAACTGCTGTCTCAAATTAATCAGTCTTCCACATTTCTTAAGTGCTCACAAATGGTTTCACAATGCCAGAGGACTACACATTGTGCATTTACAGGGATATTCCATATATATTACAGGAAAGCTGTGCTGTATTGAGAGTAGATGATCTAAAAGAAGGGAACTTACTGTCTTAGGTATAAAAAGGCTGGATAGTACAGAGAGGTTTTTATGCTTTCCAAAGCAGGCATCTATTAATAGAAATCAGAGCCTGGAATATATCCTCCAGTGCAGCCATAAGCAATTCAAAAACATAATTAACAAATAGTCAACGGATGTCGTTTGCATTTTAGGTTGTTAATGACAGAAAGCTATTGTTAGGTCTGTGAAGTACTTTGATAACTTGCATTTTGGGGAATACAGGATTTTCCTTGGAGCTTGAAATGTGCTGCTTATTAAGTTTTGGTGGAAATTAGATTAAAATATTAGCATCTACATTGTTAAAAGATAGAAATATGCCACAGACAAAACCTATTTTTTTAGTGTAGCGTTCACTGTGAAGTTGCCTGAAGTATAATTTTGATTTTTTTAAATTTAAAATATAAATCTAACCCTCATGAATAAATGATAGCAAAACTGATTAAGTAGAGTAACATCAAACTAAGTGCTGTATGAGTAAAGTTAAATTATTTTAAAACTAATACAACAAAATAATCCCCAGAGTGACAGAAATCGGCTTCTGTTTAATTTATGACATTTCCATTCAGGCGATGTAAAACTGTCAGAAGGGTTGCTTTGAGCAAAACATTTCAATTTATAATTTTTATACATATTTAAATTATGTTAAAAGTGTGTAGATGTTTTGGTGAGAAAAAATAGAATTAATAGGTGCTGAAATGTTGACATATGCTAAAGCACTTTGTTGAACAGGCAGCTAAGTGGCTCTCTACAGAAACACTGATTTTAGTAACAACAAAGCTAGAGACAGTGCCATCTTTTCCACATGTTCATGAACTTATAATCACTTTCACATTTCACCACTGGAGTGTTGAGCTTCTTTGTTTTCTACTAAAAATGTTTAAAATGGAGCAAACTATCACACATCCAAACAAACCACTTACAAATATCTATCAGGCAGAATTGTTAAGATTTCCTGTATTACTGTGATACAAATATGAACAATTTACTTGACATATCTTGATAAAATCTTATATGCTTCAGCAGAACTTAGAGTTACATTGTCTAAGGTAAATGTAGTATAAATATTTCCATGCGTTGTTACATTTTATAATGCAGGCATGTCTTTTCTGTATTGTCAAATTTCTACAAAGTGGATCACTGAATATTGAAAGTTCTTTTTTTTTACATTATTTTTATGAATATCAGTATATTTACAGTATTATTAAATGGAATTTTAATTATCAGACACTAAAAGATTGTGATAATTGTGTGAATTTTTGCATATCTTTGTGAAAACACCCAGTATGTTACACAGTGATTTACCTGTGATACAAAACGTTTAAAAGTCTTCTAATGCAGCATTAATAAAATATCTTGTGACTATAAGATAATGGAAATGTGGACACCAGGATGTGTGCACACTTCTGTCAACTGGATGTTATGCTGTGAGCCAGCAATTAAGCATTTACAGAGGGAGACAGAAGAATGTACCTTAGGCTGAGATCTTTTGAAGTTCTATGTGTAGTAATATTGAGGGTACTAAACTATTCAGAAGACATCCAATAGTGGGGGAGTTGGAAACAACACTCATATTTTGATAGTGATAATAACAACAAAAAGGTCTTAGAGTCTTGCTCCCTTGGACAGATGGTTCCCTTGCAGCCAGTTGCCCATATCAACTTTTCTGTACTTTTGTAACTCTGCTTTTCTAGCACCATGAGTCCATTCTCACTACGTGCACATGGACAGAGACACTCAAATGCTGATGACAGGCCTACGAACTAATAGATGAAGCAGAAGTAGAAACAAGTATTCTGAAAATTTGCCTGAGCAGAAATGAGCGGATTTTTTATTCCCGTTGCAGGGACCCTTCCTAAGAGGATCAATCAACTATTGATATGAACAAGGTGGATCTGGAGAATCATATCACACAAGGTCTTGCTGAGCATTTTTTAACATTAATTTGAATTATGCTGACCTGCTTTGAATAGAATGATTCTAGTAATTTTGACTTTGTCCCAATCTTCCTATCATTTTACTTCCACACTAACATGAACTTTCATATTTGAGGACAGGCAGATTTGTACATTGCTTTCAGCCTAATGTTTAGAGGTGAAATGTTACCAGAGTAGCAGTTTTGCATAGCACAGAATGCTTGTTCAGCTTACCGACTGGCTGGCTGCAAGCAGGACAACACGTACGTCAGAGAGCCTCCAAATGAACTTTAGATATAAACCACTAAAAAGCAACAATATACAATTCTATGTATTTAACCTTGTACAATGATAAGTGAGGTTCATGATTGCTCTTTAGTAATTACTGGAACAAACACAATTAATAAAAAGATAAAGAGAGGCTGATATGCAAGTTATGATAGCAATTTCAGGGTTCTTTCCCATCATGATCCAACACAAAACCTTGTAATTACTCAGATGACTGTCTGCTACCATGTTTTTTGTTTGGGTTGTTTTTTTTTTTTTTCCCTATCTTTCCATATTTAGAAAGCACTCTGTGCCTCCCCAGGGCTAAAGTGTTATGCAGAACTGAACTTCAAAAAGTCACAAGCCCCCTGAAGTGGATTATTTAGGATGAAAATTCACAGGTCTGTAAGCCAATCTTCCTGATGTTATGAACCATCCATCAAATTGTTTGCAAAGTTTGGACATCAGTAAACACATGGAGATGCTAAAAAAAAGAGCACTGGGAGTTTAAAGGCAGATGGCAGGAGCTTCCAACAGATTTAGTTAGGATGTTGTCTGGACTGGATGTGGCTGGCTCTGCAGCTGGGTTTCACAATAAAATAGGTCCTGACACACCTGAGGATTAGGACTACCCAGGAGCTTTCACTGTAGCATAAAGGGCCATGTGAGATAGACTCTTATGGGTGCTACAGTTTAACTATTTGCAACATGAGCCCCAGGCAGCCTTTTCTTACCATTGGCACTTTCAAAACATGCCTGGTAACTGTAACTTCACTGTATGGTGAGAGAAGACAGGTCTCTAATAGGTGAGAGATAGCAGAGGACTCATGCAGATAACACATGTAATTTAAGGAATACATGGCAGAAAGCCAGTGTGGGCAAATGCTAGGTATGGGGTTTTAGCAGGTCCAAACTAAGCTTCTTGAATGATTATTTCCACCAGGAAGGGATTGAAGGCTGATTATCTTGAGAAAGAGACATGCCTATCAGCTGCCTGAATCAGATTAGTCATAAGCTACCCTTCTAAGCTTTCCTTTCAAGCTTGTGTTCACTTTCTTCTGAAATGTCATTCCTTTGAGAATCAACTCTCCCAAGTAGTGTGTAGGAACCTCCCAGCAAAATTCTGAGACACCAGTGCTTGTGGGACCACCTGGAGTTTGTAGTGCAGGCTTGGGCTATCCTTTTTCTGAAATCCAGCCTGGAATGTAAAGGCATGGATTTAGAAAACAGCATCTGAATATCTGTGGCCAAGATTTTGAATAATAAAAGACTAAAGCAAAGCTCTAAGCCTGCACTCAAGTTGATTAACTAGAAACCTACTAGCTGTTAGTATTCTAATTTCTGAAAAACAGGCCATAAAAGTACCCATATATATAATTACCTTTCCTTTTTACAGGATGTACTGATGTACAAAACATCAGCAAAAGCCTATTTAGTGCCCAACACCATATCACTTAATGCTTCTCTTTGAAATGTGGCCATATTTACACAATACATACGTATAACTGTATTGATTTGAGCCCATTTCCAAATTCTGTAAGTCAGTAATGGGAAACATAAAAAATAAATCAATTAACTTTATACAAATCTGCAAGTGTTTGATGTTACACACATCATCCAGTTATTTCTCATCTCAATAACATTCCAGACCAAAACATGACTCTGACAAGTATAAGGCAATGTGTAAACCTGAAAACACAATTGCTTGTGAAATCTCCTTAAAGCAGGATGGGGAAAGCTCCAGGGTAACTATAGCTGCATAGTGCACTGATTCTCAGATGAGTGCTCTGCCTTTTTATGTGTCATCTAAACCCTACATATGTTGGAATAGATGTTCTATTTTAAAGTACTAAGTAAATATTAAACTTCTACGCTCTCTGTCTTATTTGCATTCTTTGACACTTGGCTATGACTTGTTGCAAGCTTCTCAGATGAAGTCACTGTTTAGCAAGATGGAAGATATCTCCAAAGTAATACAAACAAAAATGTTAAAGAAAGACATTTCCTAAATGTTATAGTGCTTTCTCATTAGATACAGATTTAGGGCTCAAATGATAGTAGCATTCTCCCTGCTGCAAGAACTTTGCTGCACTCTCTGGATCAGCTAAGCTCAAGGAATTGGCCTTTCTTTTTGCTCTTGCCCTATAAAAGGTGGGGAAACCTGTGTCAAGCACATGCTTTTAGATGAATTGAAAGGCCATACTGCAGAACTCACTGCTTGAGGCTCTTCCTTATTCATTTTGCCTGCCAGCCACTTTCTAAAGAGACATGAAGCAAGCTCTGTGAAGCTTTCTTTTCTTTGAGTACATGTTTTAGCTAGATAGTTCTAAGCTTTTGTTTTGTTGTCTGAGCAAGGTAATGAATCAAAGTCATGATCAAATAATGTTTGCTTTTTTTCATTACTGGTAAGAGATTATTTCAGTTAGTAATTTACAAAAAAAAAAAAAAAAGAAAAGAAAATGTGAACTATGGAGGTAAACAAAAGTATTACACTGATTTGTGGATGTCTCTGGGAATTTCATCTATGCATCCAGGACTCCCTTGAATACACATTGCATTTAAAGCACAAGATGTTGGCATTTTGTCATTAGAATTGCTCCAATTTTGTGGTACCAAGCTAGTCCTAGAAACCAGAAAAACTACTTGAAATAGCAGATTGAGAATAAGTAGGCTTGTTTCTAGATTTGCTTCTGTCTTTGAGGGTAACTTCAAATAACCATTCATATCAGAGCTTTCAAGAACATCCCCTGATCCTCCAAAGTCAGTTAAAGATATCTAGGAACTGATCTTCATGTGATAATCAAGGCTCCCATTGCACTTCAGTAGCAGTATCAGAACTCAGCTTAGGAAAATTAAATGACATGCATCTCAAACTGAGCTCTACCATTAAGCAGAGCTTTGATTAAAATTTCTTATATTCCCCTTTCTAACTCTTGCCAATGTAGGCAGAACGGTCCTAATACTGACCAGAAAAAAAAAAAAAAAAATTTGTAAGGTTAGTTTGGGTGTTCTGAACATCTTCTGGACATTAATGTCATTAATGATAAATACCTTTAAGAAACAGTGTTTGACCACAGTGAGTTTTTTAAGAGGTCACAAAAGCTATCCACTTAAAGACTGATTTATTTGAATTGCTGATAATACAATATTGTGTTTGTAAATTAGGCTTGCTCTCCCATAATTAAGTTCAGCAAAACTGAGTTCTAACCAAAGCTCTAACCACATACTTCTTGAACATTATACTGCTATAGATTTAGTGACTGCAGCTTGAAAGCATGGCCTCTTCTGTAACACAGCAATCAGGTGCTAGATTTTATTAAGAGATTCAATCCACAAAACAATGCCAATGAAGATTAAAGTATCCTCCTCTGTTACAAGAAATTGCCCCAAATAAGTAACAAGTTTTCCTTCTGCCTATGAACACCATTAAAATCTCTGAGGGAACAAAAAAGTTTGGCTTGCTTTTTCTGTTCTCAACAAATATTTAGGAACTGGTTTTGCATCTGATTGCTTTGGGATCATTTATAAGAAGTGTATGGCATCAGCAATTAGAAATACTCTTAAACTATGGTCATTTGGAAATAAGAGAGAGAATTGTCACTTAAGCTGCTGTTAAAGACTCTAAGGATGGGATTTATGACCCCTAACTTTAGCCATCCAAATTTAAACCTCAAGTTTAAATTACTTGTTTATTCTCACACTAAGCTAATGGAGAGAGATAAGTGCTGAAAGTGGATGATTGTCTCTTTAAGATAGAAATCTTAGATGGGAAGTGCCTGTCTTTCCGTCACCTAGATCATTAATAAGACATCTAACTTTCAAAAGGTGAAAATAGTTGAAAAGAAATCCCAAGAAATGCCATACTCCAAAACAGGAAAAACCATATAATTTGTCAGAGAATACAGGAAAATTACTGTCATCTGATTTTGAGATGACAAAACTAAAGCACTAAATTAGAAAACAAATCCTGAGAGTATCTTTGAGGAAAGAAGAAGTATTAAAATGCTTTTCCAGCTTTCTTTAATAAATACCTCGATACCAGTGTCTATCAGTGAAATGCTGGAAGGAACTGTATTCATCATAATTTTGTGATTTCTTTTTCATATTTCATATTCTTAATTTAAATTTTATGCATATTCCATCAGTGACTAGAGACACAATGCAGTCAACTGCTATCAGCCATCTGCCATGGACTTCTGGCCTACATACAGGAGGAACCATGCTGGAAAGGGATTCAGACAAGGCTAAAAAATCCTGCATTGCCTGGAGGAGGAGCTGAGTCAGATGTTGAAGGGTGACAGGACTGACACTAGGGCTCAGCATTGGAACTAAAAGAAAAAGGGAATGCTACAGTACTGCTTCAGTTAATTTCCTGACAAAAACGGTTGTAAAAATTTATGAAGCTGTTACCTCTGAAGAGGAAGGGATGGGGATAACAATGAAAGTATCATGTAATTTGAAAATATATTAGCTTGTGCCTCTTCTCTATCCTCAGTTTCTAACTTCAGAGGCATTCCAAAGAGGCTTTTGGATATAGACAGACTCCCCATGAATTCTTCTGCTTGTTTCCCGCCTCTGACTTTCTCTGAGATCCTGTCTTGTAATCTGCTATCCTCCTACAGTTCCTTATGGCACTGTCTATCCAAAAATACATGTGTTCTATAAAGAAACCGCATATTTGATTGGAACAAGCATCCTGGGTCTTTCTAAATTGTACCTTCAACATATTAATTTCCTTCCAGGACAGTTCTTTTCCAATGTAATGGTCCAGGTTAAACGAGTCATTTGGACAGCTACTTTAATCCAAACTGTGCCAGATTATAGAGTTCAGGTAAAACTAAATCTATAGGTAATCTGTGATCATTTTTTTTTTTACCCTGTTTATGAATTGTTACACATGGATGCTTGTTTTCTTAAAATACCCAATGAAATGATAAGAAAATTACTTCACAGATATACGAAGGTGTGATTTGGAGCCAATCTAACATACAGAGGTATCAAATTCTTTCCCTGCTTACGCAATTTTAGCAGTACTCAGGGCTGCATAGCATATCCAAAGTCACAGTCAGGTTGTTTCTGCATAACTTGCACCAGACTGCATTTGCTATTGCCAATGTTTTATAATGTGAAACGGTTTTGACCAAAGAAATTTAATGTGGAGTTATAGAAGAGTTTTATGCTTTTTCATTTCCTCCAGTTTCAGACACTGTTCTCCTTTTCCTTTGGCGTTATGCATGCAGACAGACATGCTAATACCTTTATTACATAACTGTACAGAAATGCTCCTGATTCATTGGAAAGAAGCATCTCGTTCACATACCTTATGCAAAGATATAAACTGCTACACAAGTGAGGACATGCAACATCAGGCTTGAAAAGGCTATTCAGGTGAAGTCTTCATGGCCCTTCTCTGCACCAGGTAGTGAAACCCTCCCTTTGGCTTGCTTTTCTCTCTTTCTGGGACTGACAAAACACCGCTTTTTGATCACTAATGGGGAAGAACTGTGCAAAGAGAAACAACACCCCCCTCACTTGAGGCTGGGTTGTACCCTACTGAACATACTCTTACGGCAGCAGATACAGTGCTGGGTGGACTGTTTTTAAAGACCTAACCTGAATCACATGCATTGCATGAATAAACTTATGGGTTAGCTTAAACTCTTGTAAACCTTTATCATCTCCCTCACCTTTGCCACAATCTGAATGCAGCTGTAGAAAAGCAAATTGCTCAGCAAGCAATAGGATGAATGAATTATGGTTAATGCTTGATTTTGATGTTTAAAAATATATGTATTCTTCCATCTGGAGTCTTCACACAGCTGGGGCACATAAAAGTTTGTCTCAACTGCAAATCTGTAATCAAATCATAGGTTTTTTTCCTCAGCTGGGTTTTCCATCCTCTCAACAACCCAATCACAAAGTTTTTGAGAAACTAGTGATTGAAAGACCTCTGCTGACTGATAAATTTGTGCAAACCTTACTGGGGCTGAGGGGGAAGGCAGACAGTATGATTATATTTTGATAAAAGACTAGACAGTGATAATTGCAGAAGCTTTTTCTTTAGTTGATGCCTACATACAGGAGGAACCAAAGAAGCTGAAACCAAATTGTATTTGCAGATTTTCAGACACTGAAAGACTGTAATATAGTGGTTCATTATTTCTGAGTTCTCTAAGTTCATTATTCTAAGGAAGTTTCTATATGCAGCAGAAGATATACTGATACTCTCTAACTTGAATTAAGTAAACATAACATTAAATTTTAGTCAATTTTACAATACATTTCCTGAAAGAAGCAAGAAAGTACACTGAAAAATGGAGAATAGACATAACAGGTAAGATGCTGACAGCTGCATTTCCCTATTCCTTCAATATTCCCCCTCCCCCTGTCCAACTCTAGTACTTTTCTGGTAACCCTTCTCACGTCAGGGCAGCTTAGGAGTGTTTTGGCAGGGAACAGTCTGCTTATTCTCCCTGGAGACTGCACAGAGATCATAAATCCTGTTGGAGTTCTTAACCCTTACATGTAGCTGACAGCTTAAATCGCCTGCATTACTAAATTCAAGCAAGAAGACATGCCAGCATGCAAAGAAATATGCTCAAATTATTGGGTAGCCAGTTCCACACTTTCTCATTTTTTTATTCAATGGATTTTTCAAGGAGAATCTGAAAGTGCTTTGCTTGAGAAACACCAGTATCATAATTTAATACTTATGATAAAAATAGGTCACTGTACTTTCTTTTGTTAAGTAATTCCTTGTTTTAATCATATCAAGGCCTTCCACCACCTTTTCCTTAAAACTGCAATTTCTGTCATACTCTATCTTTTCCTCTTGACATAACTGGCACCTCTTTTATGCCTTCTACTGTTAGAGTAAGAAGGAATCAGGTTCCAATACTAATTATCATGGCAAGATGATATATGAATGCTGATTATCTTTTGTAGAAAAAAGGAAATCATGACCTGTTAAGCCAATCAAGTCAACTATTTAAATGCTAGAAAATTCTGTGAAGATCTTTTTCCATCTGGCTAAATAAAATATGAGAGAAACCTTACATACCTTACTTCTTGCTTATGTTTAGATCAGTATGATTATGATACTATTCCAATATGTTTTTCACTGACACAGCACTGCTCCACATATATTTCAGAACATTTTAATGCATTAGGAAATATTTATCCTGCATATAAAACAGAGAAAATAAATTATGTATTCCAAGTGGCATATGATTTTATTGTTACAATTAGGGTGAATACTGATGTTTTGTTTCTTCTTGTTGCATGAGTCCAAAGCTGCAAGAACCGTTTGTGAAAGATACTGGAATGCTGACGTATAATGCTTGGGGTCTTTCCACTGCTTTAGCATACTTGGCATTAGTGTTTAACTGACTGTGTTTCTGAAGATGACAGAACATTGTCTCTTTTTTTAGTTTACAGGGTTTTTTCTCCTCTTTTATGTAACTTGACAGCACTGAATTGCTTAAGGCAAGTGCAATCTAAATGTGTTTGAATGTATGCAATTGTCAGAGGCATGTTTTGCAACTTTCTGTCAGAATCCAGTAAATATACATAAATTAAAAGACAGATTATGAGTATCTAGTAGGTGGGTAAACAAGTTTCTAAGAAAGGCACCCTCCACACTTAGATATTTGCCAGCATAATTTTTAAAAGAATCCAGCAGTTCATGTTCTGTTGTGAGGTTACATTATCTGTTAGCTACCATAACAGCACGTTTTATTCAGGGTCCAGAACCAGAAATAACTTGTGAAAACCGGTACAGTGGTGATAAAGTTAGATGTGACAGCTTAACCAAGGTCCCAGTATTGTATTTGGACACAGGACTCCCTCTGATTGTCAACAAAACAAATCCAAACATTGTGACCTTTAAACTGAAATTCCTTTAGTCTCAAATTAGACTGGCAGTCAGTAGTACCTAATGAGGGAGCAATAAGTGGTATAGTTACAAAACTCACTGTCTTAGATTCTATACAAATCAGCTAACTATCAGATGATTTCAAGTGAAGGGTTTATCATCCATGATATGCACAGGGGAAACATACACATAAAGCATCTATTCCTGATTCTACAAAAGTTGACTAAGGGAATATGCCCAAGTACAGTAAAGATGTAGCAGAGCATAGGCTTCTCCAGCTTTGATCCAAAAAACTAAATGATGCTTTTTTAGTATGATTCAATATCTGCTACAGATGTAAGTCATTTATACTGGATGTCCATAGAGTTCTCAGAGTTCCGCTTGAGCCTATGTCACTGTACTCACTATTCATGGAGTGTTAATGGTTGTAGCTTAGTGGCAGTTCTGGGATGTATGAAGTACTTTAGAATATTTCATTCCTCTTCACTTAGGGCTTATATCAGAAGCTGAATTCCAGTCTGCACCATGTACCAGAATACCAGTGATTTCCTATGATTTTTTTTGTTTTCTCAATAATGTATATGTTAATAGGAAGATACTCCTACTCATTTTAAGGCTCTTGCACCACGAAGGCAGCAGGATATCAAACAGTAACTCTAGAAAATGGGTAGAATATATAAAATATAAATATAGATATATATTTATAAAGTACAGGTTTTTCCCAGTTGTATGTGGGAGGTTTTGGATATTATCCAGGATGACTCAGTTTGTCTGGATTTTCTGACTCTGTAACAACTGAAGTGACACAAATATGAATTATAACAAGCCAATGCTGCTTTTTAAGGCCTCCAATGTGCCTTACAATACTTACTTCGTCTTAAGCAGCACAAGTGTCCTTAACATACTATTTCTTATATTATTAAACAGTTCAATGATATGACAGTCTTTGGTCATAAAGCTTGTTTACACACTGAAAACAGTGATACAAGCAATGAAATCACTTCTATTTCTTGTCTCAGAATCCTTGCACCCCAGTTCATTGGGCTTTCTGAAGGTGCAGAGATTGCTCTCAGCTCGTAAGGTCCTTTTTTAAAGAAACTCTTCAGCAAATGCCTCTCCATCCATATATCCAGAGTGAGAGGGCAAAAAAACATCTGAGAAGTATTCCAACACATGTATACCACTTAAGTTGCTCCAGAAAAAAATCAAGATTAAGTAATAATATTGCTTATGGCTCTCAAGCTTGACCCATGGGAAGTTCTGTGAACAAAAATGCCAATCCACAGTAGTATTTCCAGGATCCATAACTGGGTATGGTAAGATAAAATTTCCACAAAATGTTCTTAGCCTTCTGCACTGTGATACAAATACTGACATCATGAAGGAGCTATTTCTTTATCATTTTAGAGATAATTATCCCATCTGAACAGCTACCATGAAAAATTAAATGCCTTCATCTCACTATATTAATCAGTGAGTCTGACGGAGTTATGGAGTTTTGACTTCAGTTCCTAAAACTACAATATAAGGACAGAATTTTTGAAAATATGAGTTAAATACTCAGTTCCCACAGAGTTTTTTAAGGTATTACCAAAATCCTTGCCAAAGGAACTTAGATTGAAAACTGGGTTCCTTCATAATTGTCATAAATCCCATAGATTAAATGGACCATGGACATGGTCCATCTAAGGGTGTGCCTCTCAAACTGTGGAATTATTTTATGAAACAAACGTTGAAACAAGTTGATCTCATCTGTGCTGGTGCAGAAATAACTATGTTTCAGGCCTGATCTATAATAAATGCTCACGTGGAATTAAGATAGACTTTAAAACACAAAATTCAACATCACCCTTCCTCTCTCCTTTGTTTCAGGCAGGGATATTTCTGGCGTACACCCCAGGCTGGAAGGAAACTGCGGTTTGTTTTTGGAGCTTTTGTCTTGAAATCTTTCTGTCCTTCCCCAGCTCCCTTTCCTCCTCAATGCCATGACTGTAATGAAATGAGAAGTTCAAAAAGCTGGTGATTGACAATTTCTGAAACAGGTGGTGTTTATGGTAAAGGCCTGGTACTTCTTTTTCTCTCTGGTATGCCATATATCAGCAGTCAATAACATGCCTTGAGTTAAACATGCAACTGCTCTTAATATTTGAGATTTTAAAAAAATTCTGTGATGATCTTTTGCATATAAGGACTTCAAAGGAATGTAAAAAACCCAAAACTGTTCAGCACATGTGAAATGTGAATTTAAGACATCGGATGGGCTTTTCAGTAAGTTCATTGAGATGTTAATAGAGCAGTGCTATTTATCTTTTCAACAGTCTGCATATTCTGAACATCAGGAATCCAGCTCCCTGTTAATTAGAGAAAAAACATTTTCAACCATGTGTTCATCAATGCTACCAAATAATGATGTCAAGTAGAATAACTAACTCTGGAAGCTATATAGGATGATATAGAAATGGCAGTCTTTGGAATTTTAAATACTTTAGCAAATATATAATGTTATGTTTGCTCTTCTAATTTTTACTCTTGACACACAAAGCAGTAAAAGGGATACAACTGTACTTGCAGAGTGTCTGAGGAAAGAATCTGCCTGCAATGCTTACATTTTTTAAGGCAGTGCTAGCTCTTGGGTCCGCTGCATGCTACACCCACCAGAGAGAGAAGCAAGATCTGAGGGAGGTAGGCTGTTGCTCGCTCCACGGAAGCCTGTACTTTAACCCACTGGTGCCCCAAGAGAGGTCATTCTGGGGAATAGTTCAGGAGCTTGCAAGCCCTGCGTCGTCATTTGAAGCTGTTACCAGAATAAACAACGTAGAATTTCTGTCACAGTTTTTACTGAACAGGATGGCAGTAGCCGCTGCATAGGTGATTTGTATAGTGAGTCAGGCATATTTTCTGAACGGTAATTATTGACCAGCTTCATCTTTATTTCAGAAAGATTCTTTTTCTCCTTACAGAACAAAAATTTAGAAGAAAAGCACTGAAAGAAGGTATAAAAACATGAGGCAATTAAGTTTTTGATACAGAAGATAAGCAAACCCAAGGAACTCGTTAAAACAAAACAATGTAGTGTGGTATGCTAACACACTGTAGCTTTGAAACATCTCAAACGCACTGCACTTCCACAACAACAGCCCACTTGACAAGTGCCCCTATTAGTGTTACCACCATGTCTAGGGACATCACCAAAGAGCTCACCTCTTCGTAAATGAAGGCAACATTTAGTTCAAGTCCAGTGTCTCAAGGTTTTGCATAGTTCATACTTATGTTATATTCTAGAAACTCCACACCTCCTGTAACTGGAGTGCTTCAAAAGAAAAGAAAGAGAATGGTTTTTAGTGAAAGCATTTTCGAATTTTCATTCCAGAACACTGATTATTTTAATACACATTTTTTCCTTTTTTCTTTCTCCTTTGTAACTGAGTGTGGCAGAATAGGTAACTCTGAAACTATAAAAATATGAAAATTTTAGTTAAAAATACAAATAATCTGTTTCTCTTTCACCAGTCTTTCCTCTTTCCTGAATGGAAAAACATTCAGTTGGAAACAGGGGAACTAAAGCCCTAAATACTACATTGCATTGTCTTCAGTGGGTGAAAAAGAATAATGGGATGAGACAGAAAGAAGAAAAGAGAGCAGGAAAATATATCTGACAACTTATTTCTAGTTGAGCTTCAAAAATGTCCCATTTGTCAGTGAAAAAAGTTTTTGTCAAACCATCTGATTTCCCTACACTACCAAAACTGCATCTCCTCATTTCCTCCCCTGGGTTTGATCATCTTGTCTGTCAATTCATCACAGGAGCATATATTCTAAAACCATACAAACACCCAGCCTCTCATATTCATTTCATGCTATGTGAAAGAGAGGTCAGATTGAATGTCAGCTGTGAATCAGAGGCTTCAAGTGTGTTCTTTTTCCCCCATTTTGCAGAACACCAGCAGAACAACTGGACTCACAAAGGGCTGTACATTCATTCTAAGTGACTGGTTTCCTGGGTATATTTCACTCAGCCATGTGCAATCTATTAAGTTCCCTGTAATGAAAGCCACAGTGATGATATTTAGAAAGTTAATACATCCAAGCAATGAAACCATTGATTCCCATCCAAGAACTTAATCAATAGGACACATTTTCTTCAACTGTGATGTGTCCTGAATTAA